AAAATACATCTCTCCTCTCTCAGGTATTTCCTTACACCCAGAGAAAACTAACACAGAAGGAAAAAGAAATACATGCAAATATCAACAAAAGAAAGTAAATTTGGTAACACTAAGGAAAAGCCAATTTAAAAATGGACTGAAGAGTTGACTAAGACAAAGAATCATATCCTGTAGAAACTATGCATCAAGTATTTTTCTGCACCTAACATTATAACTTTGAAATATTTTTATTTGTTAAGATGATTTGGTTGCAGGCTACAAAAACTACAACTCATCTGGGCATAAATAATTAAGCAAATCTAGTAGACCACGACTGTGCAGACACAAAGCAGCTTTTAGGTGAAGTCTGACCTGGTAGCTCATTGATGTTGCCAAAGACCCAGTTTCTTTCTTTTTCTCATCTTTGCTTTTAGCGCATTTATTTTCCTTTATGTAGTTTCTCTTCATGACCAAAGGATAACTATCAATTGAATCACTCCAAGGCATAGCTGAGTGAAGTTTCCAAATTTCAAGGGTAAATAAAGCGATGATATAGTTCTTTTAATTGGAAAAATAAGTGACGATGTGTGGTGATCTTAGAGGTGTGGCCTCAACTTCTTTGATACTCTTCTTATGGAGGGGTCAAGTTTAATTTTTTTTCATTGAGTATGAGCTGGATATAATGACCCTGAGTAGGTAATAGCATGTAGCACAAGTGATAGGTTGTCACTTCTGAAGTTTGGCTATAAAAAGAAATGGCTTCTGGCCTGGAAGTCACCTACAATGAGGACACCCAGAATCCTACAGAGAATTCCATGAGTCCCATCAACAGCCACGTAAGTTGACAACAGAAATTTTCTCCCTGCTGAGACAAGATGCCTGACATACACAACCTAAAGGAGAAAAGGTTTATTTTGGCTCACAGTTTCAGAGGGTTCAGTCTAAGGTGGAAACACCGAGGTAGAAGGGTGTAGCAGAGGAAAACTGCTCAACTCATGGCATCCAGAAAGCAGAGAGTTGGTCAAGAGCTAGAGAGGAAGAGGCCAGGGACCAGGTATAGTTCCCAAGGTCAACTGTGACCCACCAGACGCACCCAGACATGCGCAGTGCTAATCTCCTAGGCATCTCTCAAACAAACCGAGTCGACAATCATGATGGACTATCACTGAAGCAAACCCACCCACCCCATTCCAGCTTAGCCTCACACAGGCACCCAGCCTCAGCCTCTAGATAAGCTGTTCCTACCTTTCTGACTCACTGAAACTGTGAGATAATTAGTATTTGCTGCTTTATGCTGCACAGTTTGGGGCAACTTGTTCTGTAGCAATAGAGAGCAAATATAATACGTGCTATGAGAAGGAAAATATGTCCTCTGGACTTTCCATGTGCACACTCCATGCCACAAGATCAAGAGGACCGTCTGCAATCCTCAGAAGGAAAGAATGATCCACACATTTTAGAGTTATCTGGATTGCTCATGTATGTATGAAACAGACAGGTGCTCTCAAAAATAGAAAAACTCAGGGCAGACAGCAACCATGATCCCTTTTTAAAAATTTTACTTGGGATACTCAGAAGGCTGATAAAAAAAGTTTCAGAAGTTCAAAGCCAGCCAGGGCAACTTAGTGAGACCTTGTCTCAAAATATAAAGGGGGGTGAGCTGGGCTGAGGACATAGCTCAGCACTCTGAGTTCAATTCCCAGTACACCAAACAAAGAAACAAAAGATTGCCTGTGATACCTCAAACCCAACAAAGAAGAGGTGATTGAAATATTAAAATTCATGAATGTTGCCAGGGATTTAGCTCAGTGGTTCTGCCACCTGCCTCACAAGCACAAGGTCCAGAGTTTGATTCCCTGTACCAAAATAAATAAAAATAAAAAAGTAAAAAAAACATAAAAATAAAATTCATGAATGCAAAAGCCATGGGAAGAAGGTTGGTATTTGACATCAAATCTCCTTAAATATACATATTTATAAGGGGAAGACTAAATTGTGTGGTTACTAAGCAGAGTTCATGGTATCCAAGCAGAATACAAACGTCATAGATCCTGACAATGTAAAAATAGTAATAAAATTCACAAAATTCATGAATGAGAAGGAGAGGCAGGAAAACATGTAAGTGTTGTAACTTCTTCATTTTTCTTAACCAGGAAATAAAAGCATGCAATTAAAGGTTGAAATTGTTAGCAATTTAATGACATCAATTTCGTTTCATGGTTTTTCTTTAAAGAGCTTGTTAAGGAGCTAATTTTTTTCTGGAAAAATGTCTGGGAAGTCTAAATTTAAAAATCCCTGCAGTTTCACATTAGCTTTTGTCCTTAAAATTTCTTTTACTTTCATTTTTACAATTAGCATGACCGCATTTTATAAAATGATATCCTACTACAGTATCTGTTTAAATGCATCCAATAACAGCTGGAATGATGGTCATCTTCACTGGCCATAAATAGGTTTTGTTAGTCTTTGGGATGGTTATTATCTTACAGTCTGAGGTGTCCTCATTACTTTTATGTCTTTTGTTTGAGTTTTTTGGAGAAAAAAACGAGCGTGTGTGCATGTGTGTGTGTGTATTTGCAAAATGAACATTTGATAAAAAGAAACAGAGATGAAGAAAGTAAATTCAACTTGAGTAAGAAAAAAAAGGCAAAATGACTGACTCCAAGGAAAAGAAACAGAGGAACAGAGATAAAAGCAGAAACAAAACAAAACAAGTGAAACAAGTTTTCAACAAATGAAAAGCTTTCCTTGAAAAAGGTAAGTAAAGCAATTAATTGCATGGTAAAAGCTGATGAAGAGATTGAGACAAGAGAAAAATAACTAAGAAGCAGAAAGTAACCATTCCTCGTGTTCTGTGTCCTTTGTTCCTCAGTTTCTTCAAACTGTGAACCTTGCTCAGGTCAACAGCGCAGCTGCCTCCTGGGCACATGGATGCCCAAGAATTCGCTGGCTCACTTCCCTTCTGCTCCCTGGAGAGTTTCCACACAGCAGGTCACGTGTCCCAGCCATCTGGCACTGCTCACTTCAGTGGCACTAATTCTCCCTCACCTCTGCCCTTTTTGGGTTCTTCCAGCATTTTCCCAAATACTCTAAGCTGGGCTCTGCTTCTCTGGTTCAACCAAGAAGCCTCCTTCTGTCTGGTACCCTCTTTCCACTCCTACGATCTAGGCTCTTTGCTTCAGTCCTTCAGCTCTAACTTAAATGTATTTATTCCTCGCTTCAAAACCATTTCCCTATTTGAGCTCCTTATTTTTGAGCTCCACCTCTTGCAGACAGGCTCTGATTCATTGCTTATTTCCTAACACACACCTGGGTGTTCCCTAAGAGCCTGTGGGGGAAAGGCATGAAATAGACTATGCAGATCCAGGGCAGGGGCAGCAGAGTAGGGAGTCCCTGAAGACCTGGTGTGTGCCCCACCTCCCTGATCTGGGGCTCTGGATGAGCGAGGTAGGAAGGGAAAGCATTGCAGCCCTGGAAGGTCACATGGGGTGGAGCAAATTAGGACGACCTATGTGCTGATAGCTTCTGTGAGGCACTCAGGCAGGAGGTCTATATTGCTTGTTGACTGTGAACCAGGCCCCGTGCTAGACTCTGGGGCCACAGCTGGGAAGTAGTGATGAGGAGCTCACATTGTAGTGGTGACACCAGGTAAACAAGAACCAGGTCACCTAGCAATCGTAGGAGATCATTGATAGTAGCGACGCGTGCAGCATCAAGAAACTAGCATGTTCAAAAAGGAAAAAAAAAAAGGAAACAAAGTCTTTGTAAATAGGGAAGGGTGAAGGGGGTGAAGGGAGGGTAGGGGTATGGGAAAAAAAAAAGAAGCAAGATCTGTCATGTAAAGGTACAAGATCCCAATGATGAACGTAACTGTATTATCTGTTTTAAATGTACCAATAAACTTAATGAAAAAAAGAAAAACTAGTATGTTCGAGATGGGGATCAGGGGCTGCGTCATACTCAGCGCACAGCAAAAGGGTCTGCAAGAAAGTAACACTCGTGCAAGAGCTGGTTGACAAGGAGCCACGCTGGCGGAATGGCCCTTGATTAGTGTGGCTGCCCTAACAAGCGAGACTAGGAAGCCGGTAAATCACGGAAGTTCGCTCCTCACAGTCCTGGAGGCTGAGAGTTCAGGACCAGGGTGCCACCTGGTGGGGCTGCGGTGAAGGCCTCCTCCCAGGTCAGATGGCAGCTGTCACCTTGTCGCTCTCGGCCTCCACCCACCCAGGCGAGGGACACTTGACTGGTCCTGGTACAGGGTCCCCTTCAGGGACTACGCAGGGTGCTTCGCAGGAGGGAACTGAGGAAGAGCAACCCAGGAACTGTGTTATGGGAAAAGCGATGTTTTTATTTAGCTTGCATGATGCAAACTTTGAAAACTGTCCATCTTTCCTGAAGATGGTTCTACCCATACCTCCCAGATAAAATCGAGACATTTGTCCTGGAGAACGATACTGCATATCGGAGATCATCAGGAGTGGAAGGTGCTGCACATAGGCACCTTTGGGTGGCACCACTGAGACTGGCCGGTCCCGGGATGTGCACAGGACACTGCGATGACAGAAACTTGATACCT